TTAAGCGACGAACGGCCCGTCCTGGACAGTGGAGCCCTCCGCAACATCCTCCATCGTAGATTTCCGGAGCGAGCGCAGATTGTCAGAGACTGGAACTGCACTGCACCTGGGAAGGATCTTTTTGCGAAATTCCCAGGCCCGAGATTCCGCCTCTGAAACGCGAACAGGATTCTGAGGCTTGGGGTATTCCGGCCAGTTGAATGGGTCCGACGATCGGGAAACCAGCGCGCAGACCTTGTGCGAGAGATTGGTCGGCACACCCCGAGGCCTCGAGCAACTCGTCGTAGAGCTTGGCGTGAAGGAGCACAGTTGCAGATCGGCATAATCTGGCCCGCCTCGAAGAAGACGGCGCATAGCGGGATCGGCAATCGCCCGAAGCTCCTGATCAATGGCAGGCAGAAGAGCTTGGGCACGATCCTTCCAATACTGCAGATCTCGCAGACGCCGATCCACCAAAGCAAGAGGCCCGGACGCGATCGTGTTGATGTTTTGGAAGATTTCTTCAGAGATCTCCGGCTGAACTGTGAACGGGTGCGTGATCTGAAGAGCCCAGCGAGCGGCGACCCTGGCTCGCACTCGATCTCGAGCAGAGGCTTAGCCGCACCCCTTTTGAGCTGGTAGCCGCTGGCGGAGGCAAGGCGAGCAGCCTGTTCTTGGCGATGACCCTGCCCTGCCAAGGAACGGAGTCGCCGAGCTTCCGTTTACGATCCGCTGAATCAGCCACCAGGCTATCAGGTCGAAAGACTTGGCGAACTGCGGCAAGGTGCCCCGGACGATCTGCGCGACCACGGCCGACCAGGCGATCGCGAGGCCGAGGGGGTAGAGCTGCGGCTGCGCCGGCTTAGTAGCAAAAATCCAGCGACCATCGGGTCGGCGAACCTTGCCCTTGAGCGGAACATGCTCATGACCGCCTGAGCACGTGCGTGCGAGCTGAAGAAAAAGAGCATTGCTAACCAAGAGACGTGTGGACTTTCTGGAGGTGCTGCCAAACTCGCACTGATCAAAGTCGACATTGTAGAGATGATGTTGAACTTTAAGCTGCTGAACAGCGGGGACTTGCCACAGGAGACTGGTTAGAGTCCAGCGAGAAATCGCCGCCTGAAGCGATCACCGCCTGCACGAGCAGCAACGAGCGACTAAGGAGCTCGTTTGCTGCAAAGAGCTGTTCCTCTTCCGCGGCAGACCTGTCGGGAAGTCCGAGAGGCATCGAACTGGAGCGCAACGGCCGCGGAGCTCCTGGGCGTTGCCGAGCTTGACTGAACGTGGTGCAAGGCAGACCCACATGCAAGAAGGCGATCGAAGAAGTCGCCACCCAGAAGATCTTGTCGTTCAACCACTTCATGCGAGAGTACGACGTCGACCGGCGGCAGCAGCAGAAGACCTTGATGACGAAGGTGAGCCGTGAAGACGCCGCTGCCCGCAAAGAGTTCAAGGCACCAAGGGCCCAGATCTCGCACCAAGTAAGGATCCTCTGGAACTTGCGACCAAGCAGACCACGGTGGCGCCGACGCATGACCAGCCGAATTCAGCTTCTGAGAAGGAGCTTCACATGTCGCGTGAGGCAGATCGGCCAATGACGACGTTGGCTGTTCGAGGGAGAAATCCCCCGGCGGTCTGTCAGACCACGGAACCCAGGCGAGGCAACAGGAGCTCAGTGGTGGCCATGGTAGGGGTGATCACCTCCAGTTTGGACGCAGATGTGCTTGTTGCGGCACTGATCCCCAAAGCGGCAGCCGAGTGAGCAGTTGAACCAAGGGCACCGCCGAGCTCCTGTGTACGTGAAGGCATGATCTTCTTCCACTCCTTCTCCGGGATGCGGCGGTCACGATCTGCTCGAGCCGTGAGCTGGGCCCCCCTGACGGCTTTCCCGACTTGCCCTTGTCCTTGTCCTTGGCGAGCTCACGAGCTTGCTTCAGAAGAGCTTTCTGCTTCTCACGGCGAGCACGGTTCTTCTTTCGTGCGAGCTTCCGAAGTTGACGTCGGAGCCGGTGGCGGTGATGTCGATCTAGGTCTCTTGGTAGCAGCCGGATCGTGCTCCACCTGCTTGGACTTGTCGAGCTCCGCTGTGGAACGAGCATCGTTCCAGAGCTGCCTGTGGTTTTTCAGAACCTCCTTGAGAGCCGCAGAGAAGGTAGGGAAATCCTTCCGCTTATCGTTCGAAAGCTTGTAGACCTTCTTCCTGAGCAAGGAATCCGCTGAAAGGAGCAAGGAAAGACCGCGGTTTTCGTGGCGCCACTCCTCGAGCTCGGAGAGGTACTTGAGCGGACCCGCCTCCATGGTGAACTCACAAATGTTGAAGTACTCGAGCGCCACGAAGAATGCATGAAGTCGATCCATAACACTGCCCTCCGATGTGACGGAGATCTTGCTGTCATGCTGGACGACCCTCAGCAGATCGTCGGAAGTTTTTGAGAACCCCGAAGTTGAGACGATCTGGTCGGATCTAGAGCGCATCTCGGCGACCTCATAGAATGCGACCGCCCCGTGGACCATATAGTCCCGATCGCACATGTAGGTGAGGATCACATCCGGGTGCCGGGCGCTGGTTCACAAAGATCTCACGAAATTCAGCGTGATCTTCTCCCGGGATTTCAGGGATCTTGGAGGGATCCTCCTCCATCTTTGCTCGCCGACTGGCCACATGTTCTTGCAGGGTGGAAGCCGACTTCCAGACCGCCGCCAACAGTGTAAGGGAGAGCTCTCGGGCGGGATCGTCCGGTCCGAACTTGGAATCATCCCCGACTATGGCTTTGATTGTGGCCTTGACCGAGGTGATCGTATCGCCGAGCATGGCAACCCGCTCAACCGAGAGCATATACCTTTGTCGGCGAACAGCAAGCATAGATCTTCCGGCAGCTTCTGTCGGCCGAAGATCTGACGCAAAGCGAGCTCTGGGACTTTGTCCTTATCTGGGTACACGGTGCGATCAACCATGAGGACGAGCTCAATGTGAGCCGAAACGTTCGCCTCCAAAGACAGCTGAGAAAGACCGATGCACAGCAGAGCACAGCGAAGACTTTAAGGATCAAGCGAACGCAGGACGTCCGGTCGAGCTCGTGCACAGAGCTTGCACAACATCTTAGGGTCAGGCAGAACCGACCCTATATGCACGAAGTCAGAGGTGATCTCGCGCTTACATGCGATCTCCTCTATTGAATCGGCAGAACAGACATGAAACTTACATTCATAGCTGGTTCCCTTCTCAGGAGCTTTGATGAAGAACTCTGTGAGACAATCACCACGATCTTCAGGGTCATCGATGGAGTCATCCTCGCGAGCGCACTCAGGCTCGTAATCCTTGGAGACCTCAGAGACCAGATCCTTGATCATAAGAGCTGGCAACGATGACCGCGAACGTGTGTATTTGAGTATGAGCGGACCAGGGTTCTTCCAGTTCGCTTGCACTCCGATCTCGTGCACGGTGCGTTTGCAATGGACTGCCTGACCCAGCATTGTAACGCGGGCCGAGTGCCACGTAAGATCCGTGACCTTTCGATCGAGTGGCACCGGCGTCTTTCCCTGCATGCCAGACCAAATGCTGCAACCACTGCAGCGATCGCGCATAGTCTGGCGGAGTCGACCTCCACATAGTCCTCGACTCCAGATCCGGTATCCAGAAATCTCGTTCCACGAGAGGGAACTCATCTCGAAGAGATTGAGACCGGTCTTGAGCCAAGAGTGTGTCGAGAACGACACGTCAGGGACCACGAACTTGGTCCCGCGTCGTTTGCGTTCACTCTTGGTCTGCCAAGAGACACCAAACAGACCCTCGGGCTTGACCTCGAGCTCGTGCGGCTTCACGTGGATCGCGTCATCGAACCTTAAGGAGGCAAAGATCATGGAGAGCGTCCACCATATGAAGACCCGAGGTGGGTTTGGCATATTCTCATCGACCACATACTTTTCCATTGCCATCACGAGCTCAATGGGAATCGGATCCGCTTCCTTGAGCTGCTTCCCCCTTTGTGTGAACACCTCTTTCTCGAGCGCCTTGAGGGGAGCCGTATCAATGGACGGCAGCTCGATGTTGGTCCGAAACCCATCGAAGTGCCATTCGCAGGGACGGAATGACCGTCGGACCGCATTCCCGACCATCGAGCTCCACGGCGTACTTTAAGATCGTATCATTCGTGATCGGGTACAAGGAGATCGACGATCGGCGAGCCCAGGCTTCGAACTTCTCGAAGCGCCTGATGTGGTTCGCCATCGTGGAAGGAGCTCCAGAGGTGAACACCAATAGCTGGAGGCGAGCTTTTTCTTCTGCCGAGAGGATCTCATTGTCCGTGTTCGACAGGGGGCTCGCATGAACACCAGCTCTTTCGGCGATAGCCTTCAGACGTTTTGCCCACTTCTGCTTCTCAGCATTCTCGAGATCTAGAAGCGGTGTCGTGGAGCTAGACGCGGATCCAGCAGTAGGCGCAGGCTTCGCCAATTAGGAGCCAGGACGGGTGCGGCCAGGGCACGGATCGCCAGATCTCTCTGGAACTGGGCGATCGACTTCGCGTCCCGCTGGCAAGGAACTTTTTCGCATCGGCCGAACCCCATCGCCGCCTTGACAAACACCCAGAACTGCTCCAGCATGTGTGGCCGAGAGGAGAACACCTCATGCTCTGTTGGCGCGAGCTTGGCCGTCCATTCGAACGCCTTGGCTGCGAACATGCCCGGCGAATCGACCTCCATTGCAAGGACCAGCTGCAGATTCGAGAGCCGTGTCCTGAGGAGAGCCTCCACAAAATGCCGATCGAAGCACGGGTAAGCCAAGATCTTGGCGGTCCATCGATCGGCCGGCGCCGCCTCTTGCAGCATGTCTGTCTAGAGCTTAGGCCGCGAGCTGGCGGGATCATACCCAGCACGGAGCTGCCACCCAAACTCTTGAAAACAAAGTGCCAGATGAGCATCATGACCCCCCCCCGCCCCGAACGACCCTCCCCCCTTCCCGGAGTGGAGAGTAGGAGCAGAGAGGAGGAGGAGGAGGAGAGGAGAGAGAGCAGGAGACATGAACTGTAAATGACATGTACCTGTGCAGAACCCTCAGACATGAACTTGTGGCTGCAGAACTGCACTTGCACATGAACTGAAACTGCCTAGAGCACTGCAACAACGAACTGTAGGTCCCGACTAAGAACGGCTGCTGCAAACCACTTCGCGTGATCACGCGGCGGGTTCTTCTTGAGCACTTCCCGAGCGGGCTGTCTGCGTTAAAGCGATCGCTCAAAAACAAAACTGAGCGACCGCCTTCTCGTGCCGATCATGAGGTTCTCGGCGCCGCCTGATCCGGCTCGGCCTCCATGACCTCACGAACCTGCTGAGCAGAAGAGCTGGCGGCGGCTGATCTGGTCACGAACTGTGAGCCTGGACCCGTCATCTCCGCGAACATCTGCGGCGTGAGCTTTGCCGTCGACCTCGAGCTGTGTCCGAGCGGGGTCTGAGAAGTGCCCCCGGGTGTCCTCCTCGTTTTCTTGATGATAGGGGACGGCCGGCTCCACGGCCCTGTCCCGAATATCGTCCTGAGCTGCGACCTCACCAGAGCCCCGGCTTGTGTCGGCGATCGCCTGGGCTGTCTCGGCGACCACGGACCTGTGCGGGTCATCTCGGCGAGCGCCCATGTGCTGACGATCTCGGAGTCTCGAACAAAGAGCTTGCTCTCCGTCTGCACATGAAAATTGCCCGCATCCAGTCCAGCCACGAATGTGTCTCGGCATCGAGCGTCTGCGCCTTGTGCCACCAGTGCTGGTGAGCTGCCGCAAGCTGAGCGAACTGCTCAGTCTGCTCTGGCCCCTTTATACGAGCTCGCTGCTCCCTGCATCGAGCGATCGTCTGGATGAGGGTGGGGCCGCTGCGACACCGTGAGCCAGGTTGCCGGAGCCGAGGTGCGAGCGCACTTCAGATCGATGCGGTTGTTGGAGTCACGGTAGCGGAACTCCACCCGATCGGCATCATTCCCCACGGCATCCTCAGACGAGCGGTCCCGAAGCGCAACCTTGCACTGTCGCCGGCGATCACCGTGCCATTGGGGCCGACCGAATAGGTCCGACCTCCGCATTCGAAAGAGAACACGGAGACCCGCCAGCCTGAAAAAGCTGCCACGACCACAGACAACCGAACACGACCACGGCAGACGCCCTTGATGAAGAACTCATCGGCGAACTGCTGCTGAACGGAAAGATCGGTGTCAGCGCGAAAGCCTCTGAAGATCCAGTGGAACAGGATCTCATTCCCGTTGTAGATCTTCACATCCGTGTAGGAAGGAGATGTGTCGTGAGCACCGGCCACGAAAACGGCTGAAAAGCCACGTGGCTGAGAGCATTTGCAGTGGCAGGATCCCATCCACCACAAGGAGCTCCGGTCTGCGAGTCGATCGAGATCGCGACCGTCGCCTTGAAGCCATCGAGCGTGTAGTTCGCGAAGAGAGACAGGTGATAACCTGACTGAGGTGGCATCACCTGATCTCTCTCCGTGAGCACGTTGATAGAGCTCGAGGAGTTCGTCATGATCTCACGAACTAGCCAGGCCTGAAAAGGCGACACGATCCGATCGTCCCGTTTGTCCACCATGATGCTGGAAGTCTTTCGCTCATTGTCTTCACATTCGGCGATCGACTCGATAAGTGGAGGAGCTTGACCTCATAAGGGTTGTGAGCCGCAGGGAACGACCCACCACCCCCTCGGCTGCGACCGCGCCGATCATCGCGGTGAGCTGGCCCGCCCCATCCTCCGCCCTGGCCTTGATCTTGGCCCGGACCTTGGTAGTGATCCCAAGATTGAACTGGAACACCCCAACCAGTACCTGATCACCGAAAATTGAGCAATCCTTCGCGGATCGTCAAGGTGAACACCTTGACCCAAAAATGGCCACGAAGGGACCACATATCTCAAAGATCAAAAGAGAGCTGCCGATCGCCTGCAGTGATGTGATTCTCCTAGCCCAGACCTACCTAACCGTAGCTAGGCGAACTTTATGTTATTCTTCTTGTTTCTTGCTTAATCTTTCCATTTTCTTTGGGTTGTTCATCTTCTCAAATATTGCCTCTCTTATTTTATTCATTGTTGAACAGAACTTATCCATACAATCTTCTCCTCTATATAAATATGGTGTTGCTTCGTCGGTTATGCTATTTACTACATTCAACATAAAACCGCAGGGCTTATGATGTTGGTATGTCCCCTTTATTCCATCGCTTGATGGTGTGGTTAAACACTCAATATCTCCATAAATAACATAAGGACATTTTAATTTCTTGTAATGATTTTTGAAAATAATCTTTTCTTTTTGTTCTGGCATTTTTGTATGTTGTATCTCATTAGCCATACGACCTTTTAATAAGTGGGCATTTAGCAACTTTTCATTTGTGAACCCGTGCTGACAATACATACAATAAAACATTTTGTTAGTTTTTTTTGTTGGTCTGTGCTCCAATTAGGCGACTTAAGTCTTTTATTAAGACGTAATGATTATTATTTTCGTCGCGAATGCTTCGGGAGGCTTCTGCCGAAACGTCGCTTAGCACGCGAGGACTCTGCCGAGCGTCTTCTAATAATAATAAGTTAATGTGACATGATGGTCTCTGAATTTTTGTTACTTTATTAACTACTATGCTAGAAGTTCCGATTGGGTCTATACCATAAACATTAACTGATATTGTATTATTACTGATGTTTTCAAACATGTCAATATCTTCGTTTGATGTTGGAAAACCAACACCCTCCCAGTTTATTCAATTATCTTCTTCTTTCAACTTCTTGTAGTGAAATAATCTTTCTCGGTGGTCGTTTTTCAGTATGTCATAAAATTTACATTGAACATTGTATTTAAAACATTGATCGTCTTCATTCTTCATATTAATACAAGCTTTTTTTATCCGAAATCCATTTAGGTAGTTCAATATATTTACCCGCTCTTGTAGGGTTGTATTTATCGTAATGAATAACAATTCTATTAACCTTAACGATTATATAGCCTGATTTTCTTAATTGTGAATTCTGTATCTTAGTTTCAATGTCTGATGCCATATTATTAATTGTTTGTTTCAGTTCGTCTTGGTTGTTGATCGTATGTATACGACTTGTGATATTGAAAGTTTCGGTATCTTCTTGGTGAGCTTGTTCTGGATGCTTGAAATCCATTAATACATTAATTCTTATTTTCATATTGTTGTTCTTTTCTAAAACTCTTTCAGTCTAGGTTCTTGATATTTTAAATATGACAGCCCTTTGTATCATTTTAGGTTTATGTTTGTTATTGAATATGAGTTGGCATATCGTTTAAATGCGCTTTGTTCCTCTGTAATGTTGGCTTTCTGTGTGATGGCATATTTTGTTAAAACTTTATAACTGCTATGCTTTTGGTTGCACGATTTAAAATGTTGTATCTTTTAAACTCTTGTGTTTTAGCTATTTGTTCCTTGTTTTTAGTTTGTTGGCTATGGGCTTTTCTCCATTATAATAATATTCTGTGTCGTTCATTACAACTTTCTTGTAGGTCTTGCCGTTTCTTACTTTAATGTTACCTATCTTACTGCTTAAAACATAATCCATCACATTTTGTAAATCCCCTTGCTCCATTTATATATATGGTGTTTTTTCTTTAAGTAGTTTTTCAGATAGTTTTCTCGTTGGCGCTTTGGGTTTGGGGGTTTAGGGCTTTTCTACAAAGTGAATGCTAATAACTATATGTTTAAAAATATGTATTGTAAACATGAATAGTCTTTTCCGTTATTTCTTCAATTTCATTGTTTATGTTACGGCCTTTACCGTTTGTTTCCTGAACCGTTGGATATGCGTCTTTCCTCTTGTAATTTATATATTTCATGACCTATTTCAATTTCATTCATTTTATGACATAACTCACATATTTTACATGAATTCATTTCACAAATGTTTAAACAAACATTTTCTGGTAGAAACGGCATTAAACGACCTAAGTTGTTTGCCTTAAACCGGCATATACAACAGTTGTTAATTACTTCTGTATATTCGTCGTCAGACCCTGTATCACTACTTGCCATTCTCTCTCAATGTATAAGGTGGCTTTTCTTTAAGTAGATTTTGTTGTGTTTCTTTTGTGATAACCTACATTTTGGTGCCTGCTGATGCTTGTTCATTCCACCTTTCCTAATCCAACATCCACATCTAGGGCATTCCCGTTTTTCTTTAGCTCTTTCACTAATCTCTTCTCTATGATTTTCGTAATACTGTTGCTTCTGTTCTTTGTAACGCTCGGGATTGTTTTGTTTGAACTCTCTTGTCTGAGTTCGTAGGCGTTCGCCGTTTTTTTCTCTGTATGCTTTACTATATTGATGCATATATTCTTTGTAGTGTTGGGCATTTTCTTGTCTATATTGTCGTTGGTAATTGTCAAAATATTCTTTATACTCATCCATATATTCCTTTCGGGTTCTCCCTGCTACGATCTTGTTCAGTGTAGCTTTCTCTCTGATCAGTTCGCCTTCTCTTCGTTTGAATTCTTCTTTAGCTTCGCACGGGTAAATTTCAATTAATTCAATATAGAACTTGTCCTGTCCTATCTCGCGCATTTTAATGTATAGAAGGCTATTATTGTTTGGCTCTTCACTGTTCTTCTTGTGATCGTAAAACCTTTTGCATAATTGTTGCGTCGTGCTTCCGATGTAAATGTCGTTGTCTATGTAATTTCTTACAGCGTATATTTTGCCTTTTGAGTATTCATTCGGTTTATGTCGGCTTTCGTTGGTCATACTGTTATCAAGTGAGAATCAATGTGTAAATGGTTTTTCTTATGTTGATAACTGCATTATGGTATGGTTGGGGCATAGCATAATGGATGGTGCGCGTCTCGGCATCCTGATTTTAAAGGGGCTGTTGGGGAAGATGGGTTTCCACTAGGAGGTCTGTCGGGGAAGTGGGTTTCTCCTAAGGGGTTGTAGGTGAAAATGGGTTTCTCCTAATACCTTTCTAGTCTTATTTAATAGGGAAATGAAGGGTGAAAATGGGTTTCTCCGAAGGTGGTTTTAGGTGAAAATGGGTTTCTCCTGCCCTGTCCTCCAGCACATTAAACTCGCCGATGAACTCCAAGTAGTTTGCCACGACTGACTTGTGCATGCCCGTCTTGGTCTGCTCCTTGATGCGGTTCAAAAGCGTCGTAGTCTGCTCCAAGCTCAAGGACTGAACCCATCCCTCAACATTCACCGAGCGAAGCCCGAAAGCCTTGACCACCATATCACTTGAGTTACATAGTGAAATGAAAACAATATATGAGAACCTGGACACATTTGACTTTAAAAAATAGCATCATGAGAAAAAGAATTATTTCAAAAATAACTTAGTCGGTTATTACAATTATTATCAAAGAGTATATCATATTTTTATTAAGATAATTATCAGATAATATATGATTTACAATATGATACAAAAAGAGACAAACAATTACATTATGAATATTTACAAGCAACATCACGGTTCTTAGATGAGATGATCGTTCAAAAGCCTTGTTAAAACAGTCTATCAATGATAATTTAATAAACTACTAAATTATTATTGAAAACACCAACCACTAAACCCCAGTAATACCCAAATCTTATCCCAATGGCTAACCCGAAGCTCTACAATCATGGCTTTATGTTAGGTTATTCTACGGACAACCCAACTAAAGCCCAGCTAAGCTTAGAGACAAACCGAGAGAAAACGAGGGAGAGGGACAAGTCAAAAAGTGACGAAGAAGTAAGAGGGAGAAAAAAACAAAACGAATGAGGAGCGACATCTACTTAAATGAGGTAACTGATACTGGGGTCTAGACGAAAAACGAGCGAGTTGACAAAGTTAACAAAGAGATGAGAAAACGAGTGAGACACGCTTTTAACAAAACGAAGCAGAGACCCAAGGAGTGAGACAGACCGTAGAGGAGGAAAATAAGAAACGAAGAAGACGACGAGGAGAGAGAACAAGTAAGAGACAGTGATAAAAAAAATGAAGCAGACACGACAACACCAAACACTCCAAACCCTAGAACCAACTTTTTTACAATTGTTGGGAGAGCGCCCGGTCCCCAGTGACTGCGGAATCCCAGCCATCCGCTTGATTCACAAATACTCGCACTGATTGGCTTCTGGATCCCTTCAGGTTCCTCTGCGGCGAGGGTGGGTCCCGGCAATGGTGAAGCCAGAGAGAGTGCTGTAAAAATCAAGAAATCGTAGCAAACGACAGCACAAAACCATCAGGAGACCCAGCGGCAGAGGAGCCTTCTTGTGGCGGGTCCAGGTTCTCCCTCTCGAGGTGGCCGCCTGAAGGTCGCGTGAAAGAGAGACTGTCCCTGTCATGTTCGTTCGTCACCGCCGGGATCGAAACGCACGGACTGTCGAAGCTCCAGCTCTTTCAGAATTCGGAGCAATGCTTTCCGCATCCTTGCATCGAAGTTTCTGCCACTTTTCCAGCGTTGCGAACGAGTCCGGGATCGGGAGCGTCTGCGGGGTGCTCCTGAGGATCTCTAACAGCAGATTGCCAAGGCCGCCCAGCTTGTCAAAGGCATCCGCCGTGTGTTCCACCGCTCTTGGCCGGTCCACGCAGTGCGGCCCACACCCGAGCTCCCTGTCCTTCAGGGTCTTCTTAACGAGCCACTTGCAGGCCTTGCCATCCCAGCCAGGAACATCGTATCTGGCCAAACAGCCCCACCAGCCGCAAAGAAGCTAAGCCAGCTCTCCTTCACCACATCGATCCAACTCTTCGCGACGACCAGGAAAGCTGCTGGCCACCGGAAGCACCAGGCACTACAGCCTACGCAAAAACTCAAGGTCAACCTGCCTACCTGGCTCTACGAAAGCTCGAGCATCCCACGCCCTGTCGGCGATTATGTTCAGTCTCTGCACATGAAACATGTCATCGGAAGTCACACGGAGTTCGAGACATGGGAGAGGCGACATCGATGCACTCCGTTGCCCTTGGTCCCTGGGCAGGCCGTGCTTCATCTGGTTGATGTGCAGCTTTCTCCAGAGGCGGACAGCCTCGCCAGGCCGCGCAGAAACCGAAACCCGTCTTCGTGCCTCCTGCCCTGCCTCGGAGGAGCCGTCTAAGGTCCCGAAGTTGGCCGCGACCTGGGCCGGGGGTGCGGCTCCTTTGAGCTTCCGGGCGGCGCGCTTTTGGGGCTGATGGCACAGTCCGGGTCGAAGAGGCACATCACGGCTACCTGAAGAACTCTCGAAGGATGAACCGGACTGACCGAGGGCTCTCGACTATCAGGAGCCGACATTGATGTGGTCCAGGAGCTGCGTCGTTGCATCTCAGAGGAGCCCCAGCTACGGATGCGTAGTGATGTTAGCCTCAGAGCCTTCTCCGCAGTCGGGATCGCGCAGCAACTTGTGGTACTGCAAGAGAAGTGCCTGGCAGACTCGCGGCCCGGGCCTGAGATTTCCCAAGCCGGCAATTCAGATCCTTCTCGATGCCCCATTTGAGGAAGAGGAGGAAGACCTGGCAACAGTCCAAGGTACTCAGGTACTCATGCGGAAGGTGCAGTCGGAGTCTCCAAACATCCTGAGCACTCTTGCCGCGACTTGCAGCGTGAGATATGGGTTCGACAGAGCCGCCACACTGCAACAATGACTCCTTTGTGCTTCGAGCTGCTACCCTTGTATAACCGGGCACAAGAGCAGAACGAGGCACACCTAGTCCAGTTATGCAGGTCAAGCCTCGGGAGCATGACAAGAGGAGAAGCCACGGTTTTCCATCGAAGGTTGGACATGAGACTTGGACGGACCAACGTGTCGACTAATACAGACGAGTCTGAAGAAGTGTGCGGATACACAATCTGCAGAAACAGCACAGACTTCCAGCTGCAAAGCTAAACTTCATCTCGAGCCACTGGTACAAAGAACTCCCTGGCGTGAGCATCGGCTTTGCCTCGGCATGCGGAGTCCAGAGTCTCGCAGTCTCGCAGACTCGACTCAAGAGCAAAAGGCAGAGTGAGATCTCGGCTGAGCTTATTCTTGGCAAGCTCGTCCAGCTTGGACCAAGCTTCCTGCAGGCACTCGAGGCTCAGATCTCGCCGCGCCTGCTCGTGCTCAGACACAGCATTCTGCGGGAAGTGCAGAATGCAAAGAACGTCTTTCGAATTGGGCTGAGATCAAGCGTCGCCGAACCGCACATCACCTGCTGCATGTCAAGCGCCTATGACACACGAAAGCTAAACTCACGGCCCAGAAGGAGAACCACCAGCAACCCGGAATGCTGAAGCATGACATGCGACAGAACAAGCAAATCCTGTATGGTCAGCACCAGGCTTTGACGCGTGGACTCTGGCAGTGGGAACCTCAGCCAGGAGCACAGAAATGCAGAAAGCACGTCACTTCAACATTGTGGGCCCAGGGCTCTGGCGAATGGAGGTGCGCAAAGGCATTCCAGTACAGCAAGTGCGAACAAAGGCCGATCCTGCTATGGCAAGGATCCTTCAGCTCCTTCAACATCTGCAGGGAGCGCACAGACGCGTGAGGGAGAAGAGCAGCCGGCGCACGCCATCAAAGAAGAGCCTCAGGAAGCGCTGCGAGAAACAGGAAAGCGGGAGGCAAGCGGCAAGCAGGGTTTGTCACGAGCAGAACTTGGTATCCGGACGGGTCACGGCCTCGGCTTTGGTTGCAGGACTCTTGCGGACACCCCTTCACGACTGTTGGGCATGAGGCGTGTCGAAAGCAACTCCAGCGGGAAGTCGTTCCTTAAAGATTCGCGACGTGTTCGTCGCTCGTTAACAAGGCGGCTACGGGCGGCTGCTAGCGGCGGCCAGCGGCCAGGAGCGGCCGAACAGAATGGCGCCAGAAAGCTTCGCCCACCCCTTCGCACATGTTGCGGACCTGCCTTGCTTAGGCTTCGCCGCTTCGCCGCTTCGCTTCGCTGAGGCAAAGGCTCGGCATAGTCGTCCACCTCCAGCTGCAGCTGTTCCAGCGACACCTGCCCGGATGGCGTGCTGCGTATCCACCCCGCAAGCGCTCAACCGCTGACCACCAAGCCTGGGAACGAAAGACATGCAGTGTAAACGTTAGGACTCAACAGTCTATAAATTCCACATTCTAGACAGACCAGGAATCACAGAAGCCACCAGACGGTCACCTGCAGCGGCTTCTGCACCTCTGCCACGAGCTCAGCAGGCACCTCCGTCCCATCTCATGTAAAAAGCAAAGAGCGGAGCGATGCAGTGTGCTGCAAAGGCTGTGCGGCCATGCCTGGATCTGGGACAGGAGTCCCGGCGACCTCAGCAACGAACACCGCAGGAAGGCTTGCTGCGACTTGAAGATTTAAGAGCTCATCCGAGGAACTGCCAAGCGGTGGTGCCCCTGGCGCCTTTTTTCGCACGCTGCAAGGAGAGTACCGAGCGAACAAGGCGCCTCGACTGCAGGCGAAGGGAAGGATAAACTTCCTCTTCAGCTGCTCCAGCTCCTTGAAACCCTCGTTGCCCCACTGTCGCAGCACCTTCAGAGCACTCAGAGAGAAAAAGCGAAGGACCAAAAGGACATAAAGAGCCCATGGCCTCCGGCCGGTGCACCGGGCCTTGGTCCCATCGCTGGTCGCTTGCACTCGGTGGAAAAACGCCCCCCCCCCCCCGCCCGCCTTCCTCGCCACGGGCGTGGCTCTGCATGGTCTCCAGCTCCTCCAGAGGTCCCAGCTTCTATGAGGCCGCCGTCCGGCCGCCTCAGTTGTCCTGCGTGAAGCCCGGGTCTGCACCACGCGAGTTCTCTTGGTCTCGGAGACTCCTCCAGCTTGCGCAGGTGACTGATTTCCCCTCAAGAGCCCTCATTCTGTGCAGCTCAAGCGCATTGTGGAAAAGGCGAGCAAGAAGCGTTCCTGCTGCTAGACCCAGAGCCCAGAGCACCACATGGACAAACCACTATAAGCCCTGCCTCTTGAGTGTACTTCTTCTGGGCCAAGAAGTTCCCGGTGCCCTGCGCTCGGGAAATTCTTTGCACGGCTCCGGTGTGCGCGCCGTGCCGCAGGACCTTCTTGGCTTTTTCGTAGAGGCCCGAGGTGTCCGGCGGCACCGCAGTGATCAGCGGATCTGAGGACTCCTGCAGCGCTGCGGCGCTGAGGGTTCCCCCTTTGTGCTGGCTGAACCCAAGCCCGGGCCCCGGACCTGCCCGGGAAGGCCCCCGGCCTGGCAGAGAGTTCTGCCTTATCTTATGCCCTTGGCCCATGCTGCTGGGGCTGGGGCCTCCATCAGCTCCGAAGCCCGGCTCCGCTCCCAGTACGCACCTCGTAACAGCGACCTATAGCCCCAAGGACCCCCAACAACCCCAGGCCTCCTTTGCGAACCGACGCCATGGGGGAGGTCTCAAACCTTGGAGATCTCGGCGGCTTGAAACTGCGATCCCGAGGCTTTGCTTCTCAGCGAGCAGCGCTACTCCGATCCAACTCCTCGAGCGCCCTTGCCGCTCCCGTTTGCCATCTGCCGGTGTCGAAGGCCCGGTGCCGCGGACCCAGCATCGGGCGAGCTGCAGAAAAACTAAAGAAACGGGTGTAGCAGCTTGAAGGCTCGAAAACTCCATGCCTAACTCCAATTTCCTGCGGCCTGCAGCAGGCAACGGCTGATCCACAAAGACGAAGTGCAGGATCCGATTCGAGTCAGGGGTCACCTTCGTCAGCTTCCTTTTCGTGTCATGCCTCTGCCCTCTCTCAGCCCACCGAGTCGGCCCCTTAGGGGCAGAATCGGTTGAGAATTACAAGTGGCAGGCCCAGGAGCATCCGCACTGTGGTAAATGCGGCGCCCGCACATGATTCCTACGTGCAAACTGGCGTGGATGAACTCTCTGGCTTCGTTACGTCTGGCGCATGCCGACTTCGACGACGCGGCCAGCCCCAAAAGCCCGCAAGGGGTTGAGCCTGTGCTTTGCTCGAGAGCATGTTTGCCATGAACGGCTCTTTGAGCGTGCCTTGCCAGGGCCGTGCTGCTGTCGGTGCGCCTGCCACGGGCTTAAGGTGGTTTCAGACTCGTCGCCGCACGCCAGGCTACCCTCGCCTGTGGGAATTCTCGAAGCGCACCCGCAAGTCCTCCAAAAGCAATCATGTCTCTCACTGCACGACACTCTACTCAAGGCTGTGACAGCCTGTCGACTGTAAGGTAGGATTCGGTCTGGATTCGGTCTTACTCGGGTGCAAGTGTCATGTTTCTCTTCTTTTGGGGGCTGACAAGCGCGATCTGTGACTTCGCTTTTCCGAGATCTGTGGCTTTTTGTGTTGACCTACGTCTTTTTTCAGCGTCTGGTTCGAGTCTCTCTGCGGCACTTGATCCTTTGATTTGGGTAGCATCAATCTGGGTAGCCGGTGTCCTTTGCTGTTGGCTTGACTTGTGCCTCCTCTTGGCTCTTCGAGGGTATTACCCAGTACGACTTGGGAAGAGGGCGACGAGAGCTAAGAAGAAGCAGAATCGATAAAGCTCGGTCGGAATTGCGTGCCTTCTCGGCAGCGTGGAGGTCAGGTCAGCACAGATGCATTGCAATGAAGCTTGAAACTTACCAGATGATACTATTCTTGTGCACTACACTGCGCACTACAAGGGGTGTACCTTGACCGACCTCATTGCCCTCCGGAACGTCCCTCCATAGGCAAAAAACCGGCCATGTAAAACGTCACTCAACATCTTCGTTTGCGGTGTAGGTTTGGGCTTACAGCTTTTTAGGGTGAGGGCTTTGCCACCCGATGTGACCTTTTAGACTTAGCACTTGCCACCCAACATCTTTTTGTTCGGGCTTCGAGTTTGGTGTAAAGCCTTTGGTTTTGGGTTTAGTTTACGAGCTTTTCGGACCGAACATCTTCTTTTTCAGGATTAGGGTCTGGCTCACGGCGTTTGAGGGTTTCAGAGCTTGAACTGCGACCGTATTGGGTTCAGGGTTTGCCACCCAACATCTTCTTTTAGGGTTTAGGCCTTCGATCTGGCTTACAAACATTTATAGGGTCAGGGCTTGCCACCCAAAGTGTTGTTTTCGGGTTTTGGGTTTGCACCGAACATCTGCTTTCAGGCTGCACGGTGTTTTTGAGGCTTTGGGCTTCGTTTGCGACGCTGTCGGGTCTAGGGCTTGGTTTACGACCGTGTCTGAAGGTCTGAAGGCTCTTTGCCGAGTGCGTCGCAGCTGAATTCCTTGCCAGGAGGAGCCTCGTGCTGGGGCCTCGGACTGAGATTACGACCTTTTAAAAACCAGGGTTTGCCACCCAACATCTTACTTTGAGAGTTTAGGGTATCTTGTAGGTTTTGGATGGGTTTCATTCTCACTCACTCTACACTCGGGCAGCACGAGTGCGCAGTGCACTTCAAAGGTGCTTTGCCCCAGTCGGGGCTCGGGGGTGGGAGGGCGGGCTACCTAACAAACTAAGCTACCTTGAGCCTAAACGCAAAGGTGAGACGACAGGTGAAACCCTACGTACGCTACGCTGTACTAAACAGGTTTCACTCTCACTCACTCTACACTCAGGCAGCACGAGTTCGCGCCACACTTTCTTGCGCGCAGTGCACTTGAAAGGTGCTTTGCCCCAGTCGGGGCTCACCCCCCCCTTCAACGAAGCCGGGACCGGAACGGTCCTCGGCTCAAAGCCTCAAAGGAGAGGGGAAGCGTAGGTGCCCTTTCCCTCGTTACTTTTTTTTTCACACAGGCCTCCTGCTGTGGCCTGCCCGGGACCGAAACGGTCCTCGGGCTACCACGCCTACGGTGGCATCAGGTCGACATTAGCCATGGCCTGTGCTACTCCTTTTGCGGAGTCACGGGCCTCCCAGATGTACTCGTGATAAACTGACGTCCAGCGCCCAAACCTTTGAAGCTTCGCGCTATTCTGAAAGGCTGCCCAGATCGCTGAAGCTCCCCCAAAGCGAAGGGAGTGAGCCCCAATTGCGCCTTGCATCCCGCAGTGGGACGCGGCCCTGGCAATCATCATCTGCAAGTTCTCCCTCGTCACATTCCTCAAGAAAGGTAAGTGAGATTCTTCCATGCCATAGTACCTTTCAGGGTAAGCGACGAACATCCGGATAGTCGCATCTACTGAGCAGAGAGGTGGCTCGCAACAAAAATGGTTGCGCGTGGCACCACGGTTGTAGCGGTCCGTCTTACTCCCCCTTAAATGTATGACGACCTCGTCGGCTTGTCGGAGGGAAGCGGCGTCGTAGAGTTTGCCCTCTTTGCGTAAGAGCAGGTCCCCTCCTTTCAAGTGGCGCGACCCTGGGAGGTGCATAACCGGGAGAAATTCGGATGCCCGCAGCAAGAAGAAATACCCAAGACAGAGGGCAAGCCAAAGGCCGGATGCCTCCTCAAGGTCAGACTTCCACAGCTGCTCAAAGAGGAAGAGCAGCATATTGGGCGTGACCGGTAGGCGCCTTACGGGAGTGGCATAGCGCTTTTTGAAGCCAGCCATGATAAGGAGGAGCCTGGGCTTCTGCTCGAACGTGGGCGGACTTATAGCAGCCAATCTCATTTTCAAGGTCCCCGGTGCCCTTCCTCCGTTCACGGCAGTGTGGAGGAGAAAATCCACAAGAAGATCTTCGTCGGCTTGGGGATCTCTCCCTTGCAGCAACCAACCGACCCCCCTTCTTGTGCAGAATAATCTCCATTATGGGAGTTGGCCTTCGTAGGCTTTTTGTGTGCCCGAGGCGAGTCTGTCCATGGCGGCCTTTAGAGCTTCCGTTTCGAAGTCCTTTCTGCAGGCACAGCGGGGCGTCGGGTTGGGCCGGTCGAGTCCCCCAGAGTCGCTTGGCTGTGGCAGGGCCTCCCAGAAAGGGAGGATTCTTCTGCTTCCTAAAGGGCGCAGATAGTCCTTCAAAAGAAGGGCTACCCTTCTTTCTTTCTCCTCGCACTCTTCCTTAGTTGCTGGCTTGTAGGATCCGGGGATGAACCATCCCTCGGATCCACAAGGGCAGCAACTCAGCAGGGTGCCGAGAAACCAACAAGCACCCAGGAATACCCACAGCCAGTGAACGATCGCATGGTTCGTGTCCCTTTCGGCGTCGTCGTTCCTTTGGCGGCCCAAAGAGAGAGCATACGACCAGCTAGCCTCCGGACCACAATCCCTGCAAGGCTGCAGTCGGCGATGGAGGGGCCGGACCAGCACACAGTTAGGTGCGTGGAATTCCGTCTCACCGCGGATCACCGCGACTTCTGCCTGGCCTCCATGCGGTTGAGCCGGGTCTCGGGCCCCAGGAACTGGTATGGCTTCAGTGGGTGTGCACACCAAACAAGGCCTAAGCAAAACCGTGTCATGTCCGCCCAGGTGCGGGCAATTGGGTCGGTGATAGGCTGTGCCTCTGGGGGTTACTACGATTAAATCGCCTCTCCTCCTGCGAAAGAGGCCTCCTTGGGTTGTCTCGCCTCGCATCCCATCCGCCCGGGTCGCGGCGAGAGGCCCCCTGTCGGCTATCATGCGCTGACGAGGCGGAGGTGCTTTCGTTGGCGGAGCTGGCGGGGGTGCAGGTGTACCAAGGGTCGTAGCTGGGGGTGCTGCAAGATTGCTGTCTAGGCGCCCCCCTATTGTTGCCATTGTGACCTTGGTTCTGCCTTCGCCTTCCCCATCTTACACACCTTCGCCGAGGAAGGAGAGCCTACTGGCGCAGGGTTGGATGCACGTATGCGCGAAGCTGCGCAACGGGAACTTAGAGAGTTTAAAGAGCTCTTGGCCACCGAAGGGACGCGCAAAAGCAAACGTGCCACCGACTCCAAGCGTCGCCGAAAGCTCAAAAAGGTGTAGGGACCGCGAGGGGGGACCTGGCAAAGGTGATGGAGAAGGGCCTGGCAGGAACGACGATCTAAGGCTACTACGTCGTTATCCGTGGGGGAAAGTTCCGAGGCCGTCTCGGCACCGGAACCGACCCCGAAGGCCCGGTTGACCCAGTAGGATCCGAGGACCGCTTCGGTCCCGGAGCCTTCCAAGATCCGGAAGCTGGGAAGCCTCGTTGTCCTCGGTGCCGCTGCATGTGGTGGGCTGGAGTTCGCGGCCGGTCAGAACCCGGACCAGCTCACCCCCGCCTGACGAAGAGCCTTACGACTACAGTTGGGAAAGCTCGAGACTGTGCTGCTTCGTTTTCCAGCCGGAGCTTGTGCTCCTGAGCCCGGCGGCGCGACTTCTCTTGTTTGCGCGCGACCCATATAGCAGCCGTCAACCGATCCGATCGCAGTGGCTTGTTGGTCACCGACGGCGGAACCGGGTTGTTTCTCTCGAGTTCCCTCATAGCGCCTCCCTGCTTGTCGAGCTCCTGAACGCACCACCCTCACCGTCCCCACCACTCTGCTGCCGTCCCCACTCACACCGTTCCTAGCATTCCCCCACTTTCGCCAATGCGTCCCCGG